TTAATTCTGGGAAATCAAACTCAGAAATTGTAACTTTGTTAGACTTATCGCGGTACAGTGTGAGAAATATTGTTAGAAGATATAACGTAACTGGCTCAGTTAATATTAAGCCACGATATGTGAAAAAAAGTAATATCACAAATAATAATAATAATAATAATAATAATAATAATAATAATAATATTTATTTACTCTAAAATACAGGGAACATGAAACGAGTAAATAAATATAATATATCCATAGGAGGACAACGCCTGTGCATGGATCATATGTATGTTGAATTGCAAAATATAATAAAATAGAGAGAAAAAATAAATTATTGGTAAGAATGGTAGAGTATTTATTGTGTAATATTTGAGATTATTTTATTAATTTGATTTCTCCCAATCGTGTTAATAAATTTTTTTAATTTTTTTTTAAAGCCTAATGTATTGCGTAATTGTTTTAAATTATTTGGTAAATGTTCGTACAATTTTGGAGCTATATACAGGTGACATCGTTTCATTAGGGATTTGTTTGGTTTAGGAACATTTTTTGCGCGTAATTTATATCTGGTTTTATGATTATGTTTAATTATGTCGTGTTCACTAATAGTTTTGTGATAATGAGTGATGGTATGTAAGAAGTAAAGTTGTTTAGTATCATATACTTGTGCATCATTATATAAGTCATTAGTTGGGTATAATTTTGATTTGCCTAACATTGATTTTAAAATTCTTCTTTGAAGTACATCTAAATCGTTAAAGTATGTCGTGCATGCAGCACCCCACACTACTATACCATATGTTATGTGTGGCTCGACTAAAGCTTGATATATTATTCGTAGATAATATTCAGTTAATATACCGGTTAGAAATTTTATTTTAAATGCTATGAATCTAATTTTCTTTAGTATGTGAGAAATATGTACATCCCATCTCAAGTGGGGATCTAGATAAATTCCTAAATATTTTGTATCATTAACTCTATTGATTTTTATATTTTTATCATTTACCTTAAGCCGAAGGTGGTTATATTTTGGTAGATGATTAGATAGTGATGAAAATGGTAAAAAATGAGTTTTAGTAAAGTTAATTGTTAATTTTCGGTTATTAAACCACTGAATAATTTTGCAAAAGTCATTTTGGATAATATCTTTTAAGTCGTTCCAATCCTTACCTTTATAGAGTATAGCAGTATCGTCTGCAAAACTGACTATTTTACCAGTACTGTTAATTTTGAATATATCGTTTAAATAAATATTGAATAACAGAGGACCCAAAATTGTACCTTGTGGAACATCACATTTAACAAACATTTCTTTACTATACGAGCTTAATAATTTTACTGATTGCGGTCTATTTGATAAATAATTTTCCATTAAAGTATACATCTTTCCACGAAAACCTATTCTTTCTAAGATTTCCAAAAGTATATTGTGGTTAACTGTGTCAAACGCTTTTTGTAAGTCCACAAATACGCATATCGATGGTACTTTTCCATCTATATTTTGGGTTATTTCATCTACTATACTTAATACCCCATCTGTTGTAGATTTGCCCGCTATAAAACCATATTGATTTGAATTTAGAATTTTGAATTTATTAAGAAAATTAATCATTTTATTAAGGAGTAATTTCTCAAAAACTTTAGCTAAACTTGATATAAGTGAAATAGGTCGATAGTTAGTGACGTTCGTATTATCATTAGATTTATAGATAGGTATGATGATTGCTGTCTTGAAAGCTGATGGAAATACTCCAGATTGGAAGGATTTGTTAATGATATAAGCAAGTGGTTCTGTTATTTGTTTGGCCAGTATCTTTAGATGTTCAGCTCTAATTTCGTCAACTCCAGGGCTTTTTTTATTTTTTAGAGTCATAATGGCATTGAAAACCTCCTGATAGTCTACTTCAGTTAATACAAATGAATTATTCAGTCTTGTTTCATGCAGATGAATATCAGCATTTTGTTTGATATTATTTGCTAAGTTTCCTCCTATATTCGTAAAAAATTCTATGAACTCATCACATATTTGCTGAATATTGTCTGTTTTCTGTCCTGTTTTTGTTTTTATTTCATTAATATTGTTTTTTGAATAGGATGACTTATTGAATATATCATTGACAGTGGACCATAGGTGTCTAGAGTCATGTGAATTATTATTCAATTGTTTTATATAGTAATTTTTTTTTGCTTTTCTCAAAAGTTCTATAAATTTGTTTTTATACTGATTATAATGATCTATATTTTCTTTCGTGGGTAAATATTTCATGATTTTATACAGTCTTTCTTTTTCGTTTGCAGATTTTATTAGTCCTTTGGTCATCCAATCATTTCTGCTTTTTTCCTTGTGACTTATTTTAACCTTATTAGTACTAACTTCAATTACTTTTTGAATTTTGTGTATTAATAAATTTGTAGCTTCGTCTAAAGAATTTGTTAAAAAAATTTCGTCCCACGATTCCGTTTGTGCGTTAAATATTAATTTTGAGTAGTCGGTGAAATATTTGTATTCAAGGTTTCTTTCATTTTTTGCCCTTAGGCAGTTCTGGTTTTTATTTTGTGAAGATATCAATAATACAGTGGAATAATGATCTGTAATATCGGTTTCATAGATAATAGGCATGTAAGAAAAAATATTGGAAATATCCTTTATAAAGCAGTGATCAATGCCGACCGAAGAGCATTAAGAAGAATAATCGTGAAAAACAGGCGTGCCAATTATTTACAATTAAGTGCTCTGTGGAGTGACGCTGTTGGAAGGAGAATTTCGAATACCACAACTCATAGAGAGGCCCACAAACTGGGATTTAGCACTTGCAAGGTGAGTTTTCTCATAAAAGAAAGTGAAGTAAAAATCCTAAAGTTGCACAACTTGTTTATAGGCCAAAGAAAAGCCACTATTAACTTCACTGCAAAAGAAAAATCGGCTTAGATGGGCTAAAGACCATAGACAATGGACACCTCAACAATGGTGTGCAATAAATACAATGGAGTGATGAGGCCCGATTCAAAGTTTGTGTTGGTGACAGTCGCAGTAGAGTTATTCGCAAAAAAATGAAGCATTCCATGTTGACTGTCTGAAGAGCAAAGTAAAATTTCCAGCATCTATTATGGTCTGTGGCAGTATGTCATCAAAAGGAGTAGGAAAACTTCATTTTATTGATGGAAATGAGGATACAAACAAATATTTGGCAATTTTAGAAGAATCGCTTTTAGCAGTGATGGAAGAATGTTTTACATCCGGCCAAGATTTTGTGTTTCAGCAAGCTGGTGCAACGTGCCATACCTCAAAAAAGGCTATAAAATGGATGGAAGAAAATAATGTACCACTTTTGAAATGGGTTTCTAGCAGTCCAGATCTGTCACCTATTGAAACTGTGTGGCACGAGATGAAAAAGGTTCTACGACAACATCCTGCTTGTCCAATCACCGAACTGAGACAAAAGCTTCAAGAAATATGCGATTGTTTGCCAAAGAATTTCAGCCGTAATAGAAAATAAAGGTGATGTTACCCAATGGTAATCTTTCAATTGTTGCTTTGTTAACTTCGCGCATTTATTCGCACATTGTTTATTTGTTCAGATGTTCTATTAGTTATAGGTCTAAGTGATTTCAAATATGTATTTTTTACCACTAGAGTGTAAGTTCAAGATAAGAATCCTATGCATACGTGAGGGGGATTCAGCTTAGGTTAAATTAGGAAACAGCTACGTTCTTTGGGGCGTATTTACATGCCATTTAAAATTTTCATGGCTTACTGAGGCATTTGGGAAAAACTAAAATTTGCCCAAATTGTTTTTATTTTTTTCTGACTTAATTTTAAGAAATATCAAAAAACTAATGGAACTTTTTCATAAGCACTTTCTGTACACCCTGTATAAATATAGGAAATAGGAATAAATTACAAGGTTAGAGCCGAAGTTATTTTATTTATGTACATATTAGATACAACTGCCTAAATATAATTATTTTACATAGCACAACAATCAGTCAAAAATAATCACACTTGAATTATACAAAATTAAATCACAAATAAAGATATTTTTGCATTGTAAAATGCCAATATAACATTATTACATTTGCCTTCTTAAATGTAGCTGTTTTGATTATATTTATCTGAAAACCAGTATTTCTAGGTGTATGGTCATCAAAAAGTTAAAAAGCTCTTACACTTAAGCACTAACAAATTCATCACTAGACCTTCTATAATTAAAAAAAAGTTTCTTAATTATTCGGTCATTATAGCAAAAACAAAACTAATATACAGGATCAGTTTTTAGTGTGGGCTTGATCGATAACTCGTTATTATGCATGCTATCTAAAAAAAGTTACAAAATTCTAGCCAACGGTATGCCCCTTACTTAAAACCTATTTTTATCTCTACATGGTAATTCATAACTATATATATGTGGTGATCTAAACATCTATTTTTTTTAGCGACACATTTTACTGCAGATTTGGTTAGGCTTATTCAAACAAAGCAGTATAATATATCATACTAGGAGGTTCTATTTTCAAATTGTTGAGATATCGGACAAACTATCGAAAAAAGCACTCTGTCAACTCGTACCTACTCAACTGTTATAGCTAGAGTACTGCATTTTTCATCAGAAACATTTTGTGATCCCATATCTTGTTCCTGTCTACTTACTTTTTCAGTTTTTTTGCGGTTTATGCATGGAACGCAAAATAAATGAATTCTCAAAATTTGTAAACACCCTATATATTTTCACATTCCTTGATTCCCGTTTCTACAAGCTTTTGATATGAGTTTTATGGAGGTTCATACGAGTGGTTTTTGAGTTACAGCTAACCTTTTTCTAAATCAGATACGAGATACTGGAGATCTTTGCAATTGGTGTATTTTTTTTATAAAAAAAAAGTCAATAAGGTGTTATCCCAAAAACCAGCTGTACAAACTTCTATAAACCTTGGTATACTTAGGTTTATAGGGGTAAAACAAAATATGGGATCATAAAATTTTGCTGACGAAAAATTCAGTACACAGGTACTTTAGCTATAATATTTGCGATGATGTGAGTTGTCAAAGTTGTGTGTAATTTTTTCGATAGATTCTCCAATCTCAACAATTTCAAAATAAAACCCTATATTATAACAAATTGCTTCGCTTGAGAAGGCCTATCCGAATGTGCAATAAAACGTAGGGCTTCCCGTTGAAAAAATGTATGTTTGGGTCACCACGTAGAAATAAAATAATTTTCCATCATACACTTTTTAGATACCATGCGTAATAACGGAGTTATCGACCGAGCTAACATTAAGAACTCACGGTATATATATGTTTACTCCAAAACTAAAACTTCTGCAAACCTTCAGTGATGTTCCACTAAACCTAAATTTACAAATATTTTTAGGGGAATATTAAAACAATGGCTGACCGAAAATGCTGCAACATTCCATCCTCAATTTACAATATTCAGACCCATGACAGGACAGACTTTCTTCACATCATGAAAATATTTTATATGTTATATTATCTAAATTTTCATCCAGTCTACCATGTTAGCAATCATTCAGCGATACAGTCCTTAATATGATGTTGTTATAATTATACAAATGAGTATATATAACTGAAGTGAAAACTCATCCTATCTATATTCAAATTGTAATTACAATATACAATATTTTTTCACATATTTCGCCTCAAACAGTAGTATATTCTGTTTTAAAGTTTGTATGGAGACAGTGCTTACTCAGTACAATTTCAAAACTATTGAAAACCCAATTCTAACATTATACAAAAAGTCATAAAGGACTCCGCACAAAACATGGTAAATGTCGATTTCACTAAAAATTCAGTATATATATATATATATATATATACATATTTGGTTGGTAGTTTTCATGGGACCAAACCAAAGCAATAGGATTGATTAGTTTCCGCGACATAGGGCGAGGAAGTTTGTCCAATTTACAAAACTGGTGAATGTGCCGATCGTAGTTCTCAAACCAAATATGTACTGTTATATTGAAGTATTTCGTTTAAACAACTTTCAGAAAGGTGTTGACAGGTGTGATGTTGATCATGGCCATGATCCTTACAAGGTCAATTTAAGATCATGTTGATTTTGAAGGCAAAAGCGAAAGAAAAATCGCACTAATGTGAACATATCTTTATGGTATTGCATTTATTGACTAGTATTTTTAGTTTGGTCTGCTTCCGTCATATCGAACGGCGTGTGTCAACTTTTTCGAAGGATAACGAACTCCAATTTTGTGGAGAGCATATAAAAAAACAAATGTTCCTAGGGTCTAGATGCCAGATTTACGTCTGCAATAATGGCCATTAAGTATTGCGTAATCAGCAGCCAAATGCTCGCTATTTTCATAAGCTTGTCGATAAGATACCCATAAACGGCACTTCATTGGGTTTCTGAAATGTGACTAAATTTCATGTATACTTCTATTCCCATCTAATTCAAATACGACGTTTGGCTCTTACGCCGTTACTAACAGATGAAGCGCTAATGCAAGATTGACAGTTCCCAAACAATCGGATTGAAGCTATCTATTAACAATAGCACCAGCTATTCTATAAATATCTCCTAGATTTGCTACATGCTGCATTTGAATGGTTTTCTCAAGGAATTTAAAAATCTATTTTATGTACACATTCGCCATTTTTGCAATCCTGTAAAATGCATCACCTAAAAACTAATCTAAGGATTGCTTTGAAAACTTTTATTCGGGAATGCCGGAAATGTACTAAATTTTTAGACAAATCGACTGGAATCCATTTTCCATGTTTTGTACCATCAGTTTAAGGGATAACATAATACTCATTGACTAACCTTACACCGTCCAATAGAATAAAATAATCGATAAACAGTTTTTTCTTTACTCCAGGAAGGCAGAAACATCTCTTTCATTTCTTTTACAGAGCATCTGAAAAATAAAATCTTTCGTTTATGACATGAAATAAAAATTGCAAACTCACAACATTGCCATTTGACACTTACTTATATAGTGCTTATATAATCTTAAATATAAATATTGTCTTGGTGAAGAATCACTTACAATCCAAGAATAATGATTATGAAAAATAACTCGCACAGTTTTATATTCTGATAATATATACAATGATACTCTCCCACAATTGTTCATTGTATTGATTTTTTTAGGTCAGTTCTTGAAACTGAGGTAGTAGGGCAACTAATACAAAGTGGACGTGTTTCTATTACTTTTAGAGATACTATCTTTTAACATTGATACAAGACTCGCTTCCCAGGTCATTCTCACGATACGCTTTCAAAACGCTTAGCGAATCATCTGGTATAGCAAAAGCGTTAAGTGGCTTGGCTCCTACCAAACTATTTGAATTAGTTGTTTGATAGCTGAGGTAGAGGGAGATGATTTGCTGAGAGATACAGAATGATTTCTGTCTACGACAAGTTGGTAGCTTTCACTAGCAAAAAAAAGTAGCAAGTGGCACTAGCAGATAGTACCTAGAAAAATGTCACATTCATTTAAGGATCTGTGTACTGTATTAACGGAAGGACAGTTGGTTTAGTTTATTGGCATTATAATAGGTAGTTGATGAATCAATTATTTACATACGATATATATAATATATATATATATATATATATATATATATATATATATATATATATATATATACATTTCTTTGGCAGTCTTGCAAATACTTCTAATTCATTATTGTTATTGTTTATGCAAGTTCTAAAATATATTTCATTATTTGAATTCTAAAGCCATACAAATTCAAACCGTTTGGCACTTGCGCTTAAAAGCCAAACAAGCGCTCACGAAGACGAAGCATCCAGTAGATAACTCGATGAGTTTGGAAAAGCGACGTTCGTCTTTTAATCTTAGTTAAACCCATTTATTCGATACAGAACTCATATAATTGCTAAGACATTTCCCGCTTATGTTCATTAGCGCACGGATGATTTCTTCCTAGGGGGATGATACGCTTTATTAAGCAAGACGTCACGAATGTCATATGACAAACAACATAAGAAATGTATTTGTGTTCATTTACCCACATGCACTTTGGCGAGATAATAATTATCATTTTTTTAAAAGTTATTTATATATTTATATATAGTGTTTATAAAACTTAATGTTTTATATGACTCAAGATGGCCTTGATAGAACCTGATTTTTGACAGAGTGTCGCATCTGTATCGTTTATAATCTTCATATAATAATAGTAATAATAACCTTTGTCTAATATTTTATTTCAATGTAAAACATTTGTGATTGTTTGCAGGAATCCTTCAGTAAGCTTGTTTTTCTTTTGTAAATTTTAATCGAATTAATCATGTCTGGATTTTGGGTTGCCTCTTCATACATTGGTACTTTAAAGTATTCACGCAAATATACTTCTTGCAAAAAATTATATTTCCACATTGTTCATAAATCTGCGTGTATATAAAAAATAAAGAATTCCTTCATTTTCCAAAAGATGAAAAAACTGTTGTTGCATGGAAGGCAGCTTGTAAGATTTCTCCCACTAGTAAAGTTTCCAATCATTATGTTTGTGAGGACTATTTTTCAATGTTTGATCATAATAATCCCCAAGATCCTTTACGTCTCAGATATCTTGCCATACCAGTGTCCCCCATGTTTTATTCAATGACCATTCTTCTGGAGAGGCTACCAAAAATCCAACTCCTTCTAAGCAAAATGAAAATTCCGGTGATATTCTGGAAGATCAAAACATTGAAATCAGTAGAAGTGGTTCTAGAACAGAATCTAAGTATTTAAATAAATATTATTTTTTGTTAGAGAAAGGCTCTGGCATATTAACAAAATATGGTACTTCAAAGAACGAATTGAGCCCTGAGGAATCAATTATGTATAAAGTCCTCCGGAATGTTTGCTCAAGACTATCGAAATTAAAATCAATTCTGAAAAATGAAAGAGCTCATTTGTATTCATTGAAAAGTTTATATGAGGATGTTCGTTTTCAATATACTGAAGAAAATCTTAATGAAGTTACCAATAGTTTTATTGATTCACAGTTGAGAAATGTCAATAAACATCCAAATGCTTACGTGGACAATTAGAGACAAAACTTTTGCACTTGCACTGTACAACCAGGTAGGTGCCAATCCTACATTGTCTTTGTGTGGCTCGGGTGTTGATTACTTTTAATTATATCTAGACCAGAAGTCGCTCACAGTCCCGCGGCTCTCCACAATTCAAAAATCAGACCGACAAAAGTGGTTGCAGCATTTCCTCCAATTTTGAACATCCGACTTCCTTTTTTTACAAACTCAGAATTCAAAGGAGCCATCCGGCCTAAAATCTTTGCCTCTTCAAGTTTCCTACATTTGTGATTAATTTACTGATAAATTTATTCCAAAACTACAACATAGCATCAATAACGCTCAATATCCTATAAATTAATAAGAACCCAGACAGCGATAAGCAAGACACCAACCACTTAGTAGTGATCTTGAAGTCGATAAGCGATTTTCAAAAACGCTTAGCGTGAGACAATAACGGGGACACCATATTTTTTGACAAACACTTCAAAATAAAGGTGCAAAAGACGTCATATTCGCTGAGCCAGTTGAAAAGCGTTTTGAAAAACGAAAATAGCGGGCCAGGCCAGGATTTTTATCGCACAAATCTGTTAAAGTGACATGTTTATGATTTGCACAACTTAGATTCTTTTTGGAAATATTCCTTTTTCGTATACTATTTTCATCATATTTTAATAATAATAATAATAATAATCTATATTCCAAATTGTACAATGACATTACAAAAATTGTATAGCCACTACAAAATGAAATGTTGCGTCACTGTCACCATAACTATAGTAGTTTACCTGAGACCTTTTTTTGTGTTACATGGTTATTTATCTTAAAACAGCTACTATCTTATACTATTACAACTCCCATAGAACTCATCTATTGTATAAGGCTCTGACTGTACTAGAAATTGCTTAATAGTCTTTTTAAATTTATGTAAACGGTTTATGTTTTTAATTTCATTTGGTAGATTGTTAAAAACTTTTAAACACATGTAAATAGGGCTTTTTCCTGTGGAGGATAATCTGTGTATTGAATAAGTAACATTGACTGTTCGAGTATCATAAACAGTTTGCACCTCAAGCTCAAATAAATTTTTATTTTTGCAAAAAAAAAGACACTCACACATAGATGGCATACACAGTCATGATTTTTTCAGTTTTAAACAGCCCCCTGCAAGTTTCATTGAAATTTAGTCCCTTTAGCAGTCGTTGCTCTTTTTTGAACAAAAATTTTTTGAATAAACCTATTGCGTCCCCAAAAAATAATCCCATACTTCAGAACACTTTCAAAATTAGCATGGTACAATTTTGTGTGCAATATTACAAATAGACTTGTGCGCTGACAATGCGCTGCAGGCAATCCACTGTAGAGTACCTAAATGGAGAGAAGACTCTTCGTGGAATATCTTAATAATCTGTCGGTCGACCCCATGGACCTTGGGTTTTCTGCATTATAGTAGCAATTTTTTGTTAGATCATCGCGAATTGACATAATAAGATAAAAACTAATCACATCTTACGTAGTTTTAAGTTTGCTGTTTAGAATCAAAAAACAGCTGGATTTGGCCTGTTTTTACCATTCAATATCAGTACGCGATTTAACCAAAACTTTGCTGTGGGCTTTTGGACTAATACCGGCTTATAAATAAAAACAGCGATCAATGTGCGGACCGGGCAGTCCTTGGTTTGGCGATTCGGTCACGGATGACCCTTCATGAGCAAGCATGTCAAGTAGATCGACGATTGGAAAATTAGCAATTTGAGGTTAAAAAACTTGTGAATTTCAAGCTGATGTACATCTGTTGTTACTAGTGTGATAGTAAAGGCCTGTGTCGATGTGATACAAATATGGCATCCTTGGACCCGCTACTGACGCCATTTTGTACAACAAAATGAGATTCTAATAGCGATTCTCTATAAATAGTACCTCGATGATATGAGCAATTAGGTACGAGTTAAGCCACATTGACTATATTCCGGAAAATTTAAAACTGCCATTTTTTGTAAATCCTGAAATCACGTTTCTTGCTCAATTCCGATTGACACGCTACAAAAGAAGTTCATTTTGAGGGACAAAGATTTGGTGACAACAGAATCGAAAAACGCATTTTCATAAAATAAATTCATTTTCTAAAATAGTGTGGCTTGGTGCCTGTCCAAATGTAATTTAAAAATAGTTTGTTTTATGAACATATAATTTGGCTGTTCAATGTTAGACTTATTGAATTTAGCAGACTCCTTATCTACGTTGTAGTTCTTTTTCGTGAAAGATATGGAGCCAAATACATAAAAGGTCTGTTATTCCAAATGGTACGTCCTCCAAAAAAAATTATGAATATTTCTGAATAGTGAAGAAAATCAAAAGCCACACAGATAAGTTTATTTGGTATAAAAGAGCATAAGTTACTTATTACAAAATTACATGATATTGACACATTAGTTATTTGAAGTCTACTATAGTCGTTTCCAATAAGGATAATGTTATATTCTAACAAACAAATAGTTTGAAATCAATGTCTAGTGGTATTGTGAAACTAGTACAAAAACAGTTTTCCTACGAACAAAAGTGCAAGCCATGGCAGCAACGTCATAAGCCACAAATTTATTTATTGGCTTGAGTTACTTGCTTAGCGCCACTATCAGAACTGTTACACACTGGCATCTGAACTAAATCCAGAAGTAGCTCTACAGGGTGTCCAATAAGTGCCACGACAAACTTAACGAGAAGGTAGGCTTTGGACTGACCTCTCTTAAATTTAAAAAAAACGAACCTTTTCAACTGTGGTCTTTAGTTGTAGCTTTTTTTTTATATTTAAGAAAAAATTCAATATCTCAAAAACTGTGACACTTTTTATATAGGTAAGTTTTTGTTATTTGGGAGGTCAGTCCAAAGCTTACCTTCTCCTTAAGTTTGTCTTGGTACTTATTGGACTCCCTGAGTATATCATCATCACCATCGACTAATTTTCTAAAGTTTCTTGCATAAAAGTGTGTGGGATATCGTGGTTTTACAAAAACGTCATCAATCAGCAGATTCTCAAAAAAAATCAACTTTGGACACTACCTACGCCTTTTAGACAGGGATGTGTCTTTTTATTCAAATGTGGCTGATGTACCTTATTGTCCCAAGCTCTTCATATATCCTCACCTTAAGACATCATCACTAACTGTCCCGTATTCGTAGCATAAATCAAGCCCTGTCCAGATGTAGGCAACCATCGTATACAGTTGATCCTGCTATCTCTATTCTGCTGTAGCTCCCTCAAAACCGGCAATCTATCCCCTGGGACGTCCTTCTGCTCTATTTTGAAAATTCTAGCCATAATCCAACGGTCGCTCGGCACTATACGTGAGGCAAGACCTACCACTAGATGTCTACTTAAGGGTGACAGTGAGACAGAGACCGCGTTTTGCTCAAAACTTGTTGTATACAAGCATTGGCCGAGGGTTTCCCATCTCAAGCTGTAGACACCTTTAGAAAGAGATGTACATTTCTCAATTTAAGGTCTTTGCTCAGTATACCATATCATCATTGATCAACATATTCTTAAAGAAGATGCCCAACCCTATGTGGTATTTGGACGTTCGCATCCAATTTCCATCGTCACAGCTATTCTGCCAGATAGGATTAAGGTGAGTTATGCAAACAAAATCAATATTCCTTTCAAAGAAACTTTATTATTCTTTGACATGACATCAAAACCTCCCAAAGAACGATCATCTCTTAACCTCCCTCATATTATTAATTACTGATGATTTCGTATTATGAGAAACAGAAAAGCAAATCCCATAACCTGCAACAAAAGTCCATACTTTTGTTTTGATGTAGTCCCGACCTTAAAATTATGAATTCTAAGCATCCTCGGTCATGACCACCAGGTAATTTATAAATAAATTAATTTCACGACAGCGAAACAAAAAAAAAATGCGTCCTTTCCGCCTGTGTGCTACAAGTCCTATTATGGAATTTTTAAGTTGACTTCCAAATAATCTTGACGATTATCTTCGAAGAGAAGACTTTGCTAAACAGGCATTTTAAAATTATCAAGTTCATCTCTAAAACAACTTGAAGGTGATGGTCGAGGTCTCCATTAAACTATTCTCTCAAAACCCACAATTTTTCAACATTGTATGCAGTGTTTGTCGAGATGGACGAGGGTCATAAGCTTTTTGAACACCCTGTATAATTGTATACTCATTTTCGTAGGTACGACTCCCAATTGGATTTGACGTCTTCTGATAGAATATGTTAATCAATGATACGGTTCCACGTGCTCAAGATACTACTTACCGAGCCTATTAGTAACATTCAGATACCCTCCCGAAGGCAACAAAGTAACTAATACTGTTCCATCTTTGGCTATATCGACACTGGCGTCGTTATGTATCTTACATTCACCTACCACTACGTTCTTCAGAGCTGAAAAAAACACATGTAAGAGTAAAGGAACTGGACCCTTTTAACAAAACCCAAATTTTTTTGAAACTGACGAACCGAAACCTCAAAACCTTGTTCCGGTACTTTCGGGCCAAAGCATAAACATTGATTAACGTATTATATTCTGAAGATAGCCAAACATATTCTGTATTCCGGCGTCCAAGAAGGGATCTGAAATGTACTCACGCCATATATTAGACATTATCAGAACACAAAAATGAATTTAGAAACCTACTTTGAAAACAGTTAAGAGTGTTTGGTTCTGCTACTGTCTCATGAATGGTGCTAGTACATTTCAGAACCTTTTTTGGTTTGTTTGGTTGGATATCTTCAGGTAGAATACGTTAATCAACGCTTGAACATGCCTAGACATAATAGGCGGTATGTTGGGAGAAATAGATGGTTTTTCTCGTAATTCATTTACCACTTCCCATACTTCCTTGCTTTTATTTGCTGATCAATTACTTGCTTTTTATAATTTATTTTTTGCTGAAACTAAAACTTGTTTTTTATTCTAGGATATTTCAGACAGTACTAACTTGTGAAACTTTTATTTTTTATAAATGTCTTGATATAGTCGAAGAATGTTCAATTATGAGATTATATTTTCAATCCTTTAGTGACCCAGGGTCTTCTATTCTTAATTTTTTACCATGGTAAACTTTCAAGAAAAATGTAAAATGTTTACAAGTTCATCATAAAATGTTAGAAAAGGATTGTCACTAAGGAGGCAATCAGTAAAGTTTAATGTGAGGTACCTACTTCATAGCTTTTTCTGTAACTCACAATACTTTGAAATGACATTAAAAAAATGACAGTGATATACAAGCAATCAAAATATGGTGCGATAACAATCACTTATCTTTCAATGTAAATAAGACAAAATTTATTTATGAGTTTTAAATGCTCCCTTGATTCAAGAAATTTGAATAGTAAGTTGATACATAAAACAGACAATATTACTTTTTTGGGACTAACCATTGATCTCAAATTAGATTTTACTAATCAGTTAGTTACAATGTAGGAAAAAGCAAAGCCTTAATAAGTTACTCTGCATTATTCCAAAGTAGGTGAAGATACAGCTTTTCCTCTTGGTATGCCTGTTCTTGACATTACTTGATAAAAGTGCTTATAATTCAAAAATGATCTAAGATATATAACTAAAAACAATCCTAGTGTTACATATGCAGGTATTTATTTCTAAATCTTAAAATAATGACTGTCGAATCATTGTTCATTTCAGAAATAACTATTATTTTTAAAAATAATTCTCAATTTGAATCATTACATATATGTTACGATATTAGGCAAACATCAGATTTTAAATTAATAGTGCCTAATTCAACATTTTTGGAAGATTCAATAATACATAATAGTCCGAAATTGTACATATGCGTCCCTGATAATACCAAAAGAATCAACAATTCCATATTCTACTATGAACACAAAAATATTCTAATAAATACGTTGCATGAGTTCTACAATACACTTATGATCCACACCTTTTAAATTGTTAAATTTTAATTTTAAAGTCGCACGTTCCTTTTTTTCAACAGCCTATTTGGAGGAGTATTCTTAATACCATCTGATTATTTCATGGTGTGTAAGAGATGTCTAAAAAGCAATGTTTTCATTTTTTTGTCAGTTTTTTCTTCAATCGTAACTTGTTAATAAATAATAGTACAACTCTGGAATTGTACTTGAGGGAGATACACCCTAGGTTAGATTATGAAAAAGCTGCGTTGTTTGGGGCGTATTTACATAACGATGAGAAACTTGTAAAAATTTCAGGGCTTACTGTGGTATTTGGGAAAAAATAAAGTTTGGTTAAATCGTTTTTATTTTTTTCTTACTTTAAGTTAGGAATATCAAACAACTAATGAAACTTTTCCATTGGCACTTTTTAGACACTACACATAATTTTGTGCCCATCATCACCAAGTCCATGAACACAGTGGCGGCTCGTGGTAAAAATTTTAAGGTGTTCTGCAATTTTTGTAAAAAAAAACAAAATAAGAAAAAGCTTACCTATTTTTTGTAAATTAAGTCTATCCTACGCTCTTTTCTGCTTGCAAATTTCGTAATCACTTTTTCATTAAAATTGTCTATTTTAGAGATAAACTTTTTCTCAATGGATAGCATGGAGAGAGCTGTTAGACGATCTTCAATCATTGAATTTCTGATAAAGGTCTTGATCCGATTTAGGGTTGAAAAACATCGTTCAGCCTCTGATGTCGTCATGGGAGTTGTTACCACAATTTCTAATAGTTTTTTAGTCTCCTTCAACGTATCTCCTAGATTGTTTGTTATTAAAAATTTTAGAAGAGGTAATGCGCCATTTAATGTCCTGCAATCATTTCTTGAATAAATAACAGACAGTTCGGTTCGTAATCGTTCTTTATCAAGTGTGGGATAAAAGGAACATACGGAAGTAAGTTTATTCTCGGGGAATTTACCGCAATACTTTCCAAAGTAGTCCGAAAAGAAAAGTGATGCAACTACTAAATGCTCTTTAAACTGAAATCGATCTTTTGCACAATTTATAATAATATCACACACCTCTAAAGCTGAAATTCGGTGATCAAATTTGCTGTTAGATGGACGTTTGCGTTTATTTTCTGGAGGCTCATCGCTTATTATATCTGATGCTTCACTAATGATGTTATCAATATTATTTCGAACTTGAATCATACTCCTTTCAAAATTATCAATAGCATGTCTTACTAGAGTGGGTTCGATTTTTCTTTGTTGCAATTGATTAAATAGGATATCTACGTGAGGCATCACATGATGAAAAAAAGTCAGCCAAAAATTGAAGATTGGATCATTTAATGTACGCCGAATAGAGGCGGCTGCATCATGCATACACTCAATGAGAGAGGTTCTATTTTCATACACAACATTAATGGTGCGTATATTAAAATTCCATCTGGTTGAAGCGTCGTGGGGGATACTTCTGTTCACAATCTTGTTCAATATTTCTACTCGTTGGGGTGAATTATTAAAAAATCCAAGAATGTCTTGTAAATTTCCAAAAAATACACGTACTTGCGAATTTGCAGAAGCAGCTTTAGACATAATTAAATTCAACTGATGGGCATAACAGTGAACATAGTGAGAAAAAGGATACTTTTTTTTATTAATGCTTGGACGCCTGCAGTTTGACCGCTCATCACCGCTGCTCCATCGTAACTTTGTGCAATCAGTTTGTTAGGTGAATTCTGAATTAAAGGATCTATAACAGTTAATATAGTTTTACTAAGTGTTTCTGCATCACATCTTTCAGGAATTAAGTAGCTCCAAAACCGTTCAATTGACTCACCATCGCGAATATATCTAAAAATTAGTACCAATTGATATTTTGCGGCAACATTCGTTGTTTCGTCCGCCATGATCGCCAGAAATGAAGAATTATTAATTTCCTCAATTATTTGTTCACGACAGACTTCAAGCATACACTGTAACAAATCGTTCTGTATTTCCTTGGAGGTACCTTCAAATATCGAAGCATTTTTTAGGTGCTCGTTTAGAGTTGCATCTAATTCTGCTGAAAAATTTATAAGTCCACGGAATATCCCCGGATTCTCGGAAGTATCGCCCTCATCATGTCCCCGAAGGGCCAATTCAAAAGCTCCACAAAACTTAATACAATTTATAATTTTTGACAAAATATATCTATTCTTTGAAACATTTTCATTATGTCTCTGCACATTTATCCAGTAAGCAGAATCTAATTGAGAAATAATATTAGTTGACCCTAATAACGCAAATTCCATACAATTATGAAGATGACTTTTAGAGTTTTCATGTCTTTTTATCTTCAAACTCAAGTGCTCTAGATCCGTGACCCCTATTTCTGTCCAAGCTTTATCGCCTCCAAAAAGTAAGCAGGGAAAACAGTATAAAGCATTTTTTTTGTTACATCCACAAATCCATTCATTTTTTGAATAAATGTCTCTATTAAATTTTCGTATATAACTTTTTCCTCTACTTACACCAGCTCTCTCAATAATAATATCTGGTAATGGTCTACCTTTTGCTTTCAATTCAATCTTTTCTTCATATGAATATTTAAAAAATTTCTTCACATTAATTAATAATTGAAGACCACTTCCATTGTACTTAATAATAATTATTGTCAAAAATACACAAAAAAAACCACAGGCACAGGCACTCTATTATTAATGTTTTTTAATCCAATGTCCAACCCACTGTAAACTAGAAAGTCGCGTAAAAACTCGATACTATATTGAATATTGACTATACTATTACAATAACGTTTATGCCGCGCTTCGCTGTACAGACTGCAGCGAATTCTCCAGGTTAAATCACGGCTTTGTTTTCGAGGGTAAGGGGGAAGCGGAGTGCAGCGGGAGCTTGCGGACGGGCTCTCAGAGCTCGGTCATGTGGCCCAGATAAGTAATAATTCAGGGATAGCGTGAGTCGGTAGGTTATTCCACTGATCGACTGTTGACATTCACACGGTTCACGGTTCGCTGGGCGCTGGCATAGATACAGCAAAATATAATATAGTATGACAGAGATAGATAGAAAGCATCTACAACATCTCAGATGTAATATCTGAATTTAGCCATATCATTATTACGAGGGCGAATGAACAATATCACATTATTTGCTTTTTGGTAGGTATTAGAAAATATGTTAGTTAGGTAGATTACGTAATTATTTATTTATTTTTTAAATTTATTATCCTCAGAGTTATTTTTTTTGGGAGCTCTGCAGCACTGCAGCACTTATGCACTAGCCGCCACTGCATGAACATTGTTCATTCAAATGGCCTGTTACGTCTCGAAAAAGATATATTTAGAGGAAACTTAGAGCTTTGTCCCAACCCGTCGTAGAACCATGCTGGAACGGTGACGCGCTTGCGCTTTTAGGAAAAAGTGTTCCAACCTTGTCCGTAACAGTAACAGCACGGTTCTGCATTGTGTTCCAACATGGTTCCAACCCGTTTTGGGATCGATTTGGGACGTTTTTGTTACGGTGATATCGGTACCTGCACTGAAGCGAGAACTAATGGAACTGACATGCGCAGAAGAGCTACTGTCAGGTGATTTCTTCTAAGCCTAACCTCCAAACCCCTTGCTTGGATAGTGCTTGAACGTGTGTGCCGTGTTAACAAAAAAAAAAAAACATAATGATTCGACATTTTTCATCGGGATGAGTAGTGACGACAAAGGTGACATCGATTTTGAATTGTTTTCGGATAGTGAAGATGAGCGGATTTTATTTCATCGTTGCTGATATATGATCATATTTTTTAGTCCATAAACAAATCTAGATCAGCGATTCAAACGCATCTTTATCAGAGTCCAGGAAACTGTAATATAAGATATCAGAGTAATGTACCACAGATATAAAACCAATGATTCACATGAAGCTGTTTTAACGTTAGCACTTAATACATGTTTATTCGCATAGAAAATTTTGAACATGATTTTTGAATAATGCTGTTGCAGGCGGAATGAATCTCAAATTTTTATCAAACGTTACACCCAACATATTTAATTTTTATTTGAATTCCAAATTACAGTCTAATAAGTTAATGTTACGATTTAACTTTATTTAAACCATGTCATACTTCAAGAGAGAGGGTCAAGTGTAAACAACATTGTCGCTAAATAAGCGAATTAAATAGAAAATCCAAAGCTCCTCATAGCTAGGCCGAAAAATTGGTAGATCAGGCAACATTGGCTATCCTGTCAATTTCGAGGCACAAAACGATTCCGAATCCGTTCCAACACCTTTTACAGTCCAGAAATGATCCTAGAACCACGACAGACACGCACATGCGTGTAACAGGGTACCTCACTATAATCGAACGGTTCTGGTGCGATACTAGTACTAAAGGTTGGGACAAAGCTTAGAATAGTGTTACAAGCAGTTGCTGAGAACTCGGAGATTTCAACTAAGCAAATTATGAAAAATGTAGGAGTAGCAAAATCCTCAGCCTCATTTATTTTGCGTAAAAACAGATATCACCCCTATAAATTCAGGACTTTCCAAGAACTTAGAACAGGAGATAGCGAATGGCGCCAGCATTTTTATGAGTGGTACACACGAACGTGTGGAAAGATTTTAATTTTCCTTCAACAATAATATGGTCCAACGAGAGTATGGTCACTAATAATGGTATGTTATCTAATCTAGAAGACTGCCTAGATAATTTACCTTTGGCACAGGTTGATAGTTGTTGGTTTCAATAAGACGGTGCTCCTGCACATAACTCTAGGCAAGTTCGAGAATATCTTTCTCAGCGATTTCCCGGAAGGTGGATTGGAATCTCCAGAGAAGTGTCCTGGTCAGCGCGTTCCTCGGATTTTTCTCCTCCAAACTATTTTGTTTGGGGTTTTATTAAAAACCAAGTTTATCAGAATACTCTTGAAACTGAACAGCAGTTACGAGAATGTGTAATAGAAGCGTATAGTATGAGTACACCAGAAATGTTACGTGATATTTTGAATTCTACTTTTAGATCATATTTATGTTTGGAAAATAATGGCAACCTTTTGTAAATAAAATAAAAATAATGTTAAAAATGTTATTCTGAATATCACTAGATTAAGCATTATTTTATAAAATGTCACCCCATCATATCATTATGTAATATGCATCTATCAGTAATCACATAATCTTTCATCAAGCATTTGTTTGCAACGCTAACTAAAATAATATGAAAAAACACATTTTTTTATAACTAAGAAAACAAATGTGCATTTTTTCGGACCATATAAAAAATACAGTTGATGATGGTTTCTCAAAAACGAAACGTCGAACACAAAATTTAAAAACACCATCATGTAGTGTCTAAAAAGTGTCAATGAAAAAGATCCACTAGTTTTTTGATATTTCTTAGAAAGTCAGAAGAAAAAATAAAAACGATTTGGCCAAATATCAGTTTTTCTCAAATACCTCAGTAAACCATGTGAATTTTTTCAACGGAATGTAAATATGCCCCACAGAACGGAGCTTTTTCCTAACTTAACCTAAGCTGGCATTGAGATCCCCATGCATAGGATTCTTATCTTGGACACACTGCATATCTATATAGAAATTTCATGAATTTTCATAAATCACGTCTTAATGCATGCAGCATCTTAAAACTTACTGTTAGTGATTACGGGTACTTCCCAGTTAGACACATCCCACGCTTGTATCCTATGGTTTGGCGTAACAGTGGTCACCATATCGCTCTCATAGATTTGTTCCCTTTGCGGGTCATCCAAATCTGCGTCAAAAGGGTTTACACTGGCATACAGGGGATGCAGAAAACGTGGCCTGAACAACCCTATAGGGTAGTTGTGCAGGACCTCAGATTGGCGTTGACGTTGGCCCAGGACGCGATGGCTTACTAGGGTTGGTTCTGACACCGGGACATCATTTACCTACGACGAGAAAAGAACAACCGATACAAAACTTGTAGCTACTTCATGTAAATGGAAACCAAGGAATTTCAAAGTTTAATGGCACAGCATTAAATGTCGTATATCAACAATTTTAGCAGATCTCGAACAAAACCTGTGTCTTTGCTATAGCATTCAATAAGTCCCGGGTCTAATCCGTAGATGACGTTAGTAATATCAATTTTTTCTCGAAACTAACATTCATAAAAATGATGCTATCTTTGCATTTGTTTTAAAAATGAAAATAAAAGATAATTTCGTATGTTGATGAAACTGTGCTAAGTAATGAGAAAAAATACTGCAAAAGATCATAAATGGCATGAAAAATGTTATCCTGGCTCTACTCTGTCGAAAACAACGATTTACTAGCTTTTTCCCAGCAGCTGCCGTTACTGTTCGTTCAAGATCAAGTCCTCGGTGATCTGGACTCTGACCAGCCGAAATGAACGGCTCTTTGGCAGAACACGGCCATCCATCGAAACCAAATGTGCGCTAGGACGCTATTTGTTCATCAAGGTACAGTACTGTGTTTTAGAGGCATTAAACTGGACAAGATTGATGCGTCCCCAAGCAGTGATAACCTGGGGTCGCAGCAAAGAGCCTTAGCCTTTGAGTCGGTTACACTAACACGTAAGTGTTGGAAGGCTACTCTGTGAGAAGTTCCTTTTAATCTGCTTGGCCAGCGGTTGTAAGAAGGTTCTGCGTATCTTGATCTTCTGCTGACGAGCAGTGTCGCATGATTTGTTGAAATAGCCGTTGAAACCTGGTTTAGGCATTTCCACTGTATGAGGGATGTATTCCTCCATCCCAACGTGGATAATTTGGGTTATCGATGAACAGACAGCCGACACATCCACGTCAGCGAAATAAACATCCCTCCAAGAAAAGGTGGAGATGAAGACTCTGAGCCCCTCGCAGTCGGCATGTCCGTAATACCAGGTTTTGAGGCCTGGGCGAGTTTCTGCTGCCACCGCTGGTTCTGACTGAAGTCTAACCTCTACAACACCGTGGTCTGAGGTACCCAGGAGAGACAGGATAGCAGTACTGAAAGGGACAGGATGCACGGTCAGAAAGAGATCCAGCAGGCTACTGGCGTGTGTCAAAACGCGGGGGAAAAAGCAGGGCTCGTCATCAGCTTGGTCAGTCCTTGATAATAGTGAATGCTTCAACTGCACCACCTGCTGCATGGTAACGAAAAGTTAGAAATTCGTTGGAATAATTATATTGCACTTGAAGGTGATTACATTAATGAGTAAAAATAAATTTTGTCAAATCAATGTAGTTTTCTTAGTCTTGGGACTTACTGTACGATGTGTTAAGTTCTCTCCTCCGATTTCTGGTGGTTCACAGTAAAATCATTGATTGAAGTATTCTCCGCTCTATTCTGTATTTGGAACTTCACAATGATTCCCTTAGAAGTAATAGAACAGCCCCTATTTTCTTTATAAAGAAAATTGTTCTCAAACGTGACATTAACCTGACAAGTTAATAATTTTCTATTCTCAGGACGTCTCAATAACTTTCCAAATCCCATAACCTGCAGCAACAGTACGAGACTTGGCAACGCTGACACCTAAAGACGGTGGTCAACAAGAGTATATAATTGTAAACATCCGTTTTTGGCGGCGCTACGATACATAAACTCATTTTCGCGCTGGCATAGTTTACAAATGTACCTATTTTAAGCAATAACTTCACTCACCTGTACCGCAGGTACTGTATATGACCTAGTGTTACTACTGCTTCCACCTGCATTATCCCCTCCTGGTCCAGAAGAAGTAGGGTTGTTTCTAAACAGGTTACCATTTTGAGTGGCATAGTTGTTATTGTTATAGGTTTCATCGTCATCTGGATCTGAGTAGTCCAAGTTGATTGTTGGTAGTCTTGAAAACCGGTATGGCCTATCCCTGAAGAAATGGTTAGGGATTAGTAACATTTACAAGAAGATGTCCAAGCATATGCTGTATTTGGACGTTACATACAACTTCCGTCATCACACCATATTGTCAATACCATTAGGCGAAGTTCACACGATCAGTATTCACCATTGAGCGTATTCTACTTCAATAGCAACCTGATATTATATTACCGCGTCCAAAAAATTATCCAAGATCAAATGAGATAGCATAGTGTCAGCTATGAGAATTAGTTACAGCTACCTCATAGCTCTCTCCCTTCTGCACTAATTAAAAATCTACTGTGAAAAGGTTGGTGTCTTATAGATGGCATGTACCCAAATATATGCAATGATCTATGAGACACTAAAATTTTCTAAGTAGATTTCTAATTAGTGCACAGATGAGAAACATAAATGTGACAAATTCCCATACATCACGTTATGGTATCTCATTTCATGTCAGATATTTTTTGGACGCAGGAATATAGGTTGTCTAACTTCAAGTAAAATACCGTAATCAAGGGTACTTACTGTGATCCGTACGATCAGTATTTACTTTTTCCCTCCCTCTCTTGGGAGTTTTTGTTCAGAATCATCACTTTCGTAAAAAAAAATGTTTATTAGCTGGAGTATCAACCATCCCAGCAGAGTTTCTGTCTCAGAGGCATAGTGAACAGGATCATCATGTGAGATGTCTATCTCTGATAGCTGACAGCTGATCAGTCGTGTTGTACTTTAGAGTACTAATAAAAGTTAATCAAAATACATTATTTCCAAAATCTAAAAAGATAAATTTCTTCTATAGTTTTCCATAATCTCAGTATGTATTAAAAAATGTGTATGATACCATAATTCTTCCCCCTTTTTATATTGTTCAATTGTCTTGTTTACAGCAAATGCAAATACAAAAATTCTAAGATTAGGTTAGAAGAACTGCAGTGGTTGGATGTAAAAAAATTATATATGTTATTTATTTCTCATTTCAACATTTAACTTAAAAATCATTTATTACCACCATACTTAGAGAACTAGACAAAATTAAATAGTCATTATTATAACTATGAAACTAGCGGCACGTTATCATCTGTAAAATAGTAATAGCAATAGTAGTAGCATAACTAGCAAATCTGTATTCCAAATAGCAGTATTTGAATTTAATAAATTGAATACTCATATCAAGAAATGTTTGAATTAAAAAATCTTTAAGGTGACATTAAAAAATCACTTTATGAATACTAAAAATGCATAGTGATCTAATTTTAATAGGCAATAATGTAAATTTACAGAATTCGATTAAAAAATGTGTAAAAGAATAATTATGCAACATTTACATTGCAGCTTTAAAGCAAAATAAATATTCAACAAACACACAAAAAGAACTCGCTTGAATAAAAACCGTAATAACTAAAATATAAGACAGTTTCCCCTACATTAGCCATATGAGAACGATGCTCCTAATGGCAAATGCCACACAATCAGTATTTACTGTAGTCCGAACCATCAGTATTCACTCATCATTTTGTCAGTGTCAAATGATTTCTATGTAACCTTATACATCAATAAAAACTGACGTGCTAGCTACTTGATCAATAAATATCACATTCCATGATAAATACTGACCGATCTAAGAAAATAATGTTCGTGTGACATTCGCCTTAATAATACAGAAAACAGACTCCATATTCCTTTTAAAAAAAACTCGGCGAGCAATGTTATCGGGAATGCCTGGCAAGTAAGCTCGACGAGCAACTCGTTGTGAAAGCTCGGCGAGCAACCTTGTGAGGAATGCTCGGCAAGTAAGCTCGATGGGCAACTCTTCAGGAAAGCTCGGAGAATAAGCTTGTTGGGAAAGCTCGGAGAATAAACTTGTCGGGAAAGCTAGGCGAGCAAGCTTGTTGGGAATGCCCGGCAAGTAAGCTCGACGGGCAACTCTTCAGGAAAACTCGGGAAAGCTAAGCGAGACAGCCCAAGGCAGGAATGCCCGACAAGTAAACTCGACGGGAAACCCTTCATAAATGCTAGGCGAGTAAATTCGTCGGGAAAGCTAGGCGAGCAAGTTTGTCGGAACTGCCCGGCAAGTAAGCTCGACGAACAACTCTTCAGGAAAGCTCGGCGAGTAAACTCGACCGGAAAGCTAGGCGAGAAAGCTTTCCAGAAATGATCGGCAAGTAAGCTCGATATGAAAGCTTAACGAACAATTCTCCAGGAAAATTCAGCGAGTAAACTCGCTCGGAAAGCTCGGCGAGCAGGCTTTTCGAGAAAGCCTAGCGAGCAAATGTGTGTATGGTATGTAAATGAATGAACTGTTTTAGATTTTCTTTTGTCGTCGAATAGTACCTCGTCCTGAGTGTTCTGGCTATGGTACAATAGAATATTTTAAAACAATTAATACTTCTTACATCTTGACCTTCTTATCTTACCTAAAGGAACTCGACGGAGTGGCATTCGGCCTACTAACTTCCTCATCCTGACTCGGTACCGAATACCCATTCATCAAATTAGTAAACGAATGGTACCAATCCGTACTGCCGTTCGCACCAGTACCACTTCTCCCCTCCCCCGCATTGTTACTCGTCGTCCCTGCTTCCATATCGGGACTCCTTGGTCTTCCTTCAGGACTCGTCGGCCTGAAAATACGACGAAGAAGACGCATTGCTGTTGATGGGGGACCTCTGTCTGATGAAGATGGTCTTTCTGTAGAGGGCCTTTCTGGAGAAGGAGTTGGTCGATCCTGAGAGGCTCGTTCTGGAGGGATGCGGTGTTCCCTGGAAAAAAGACAAAATTTGAATTTTCTAACAGTGTGAAAAATAGCGTTCAAGCACATCAACTCTATACTTTCCACGCAATTTTGAATAAATGGACTTTGAATATGTAGCATAGTACTGAAGTCAACTTTTGAAAACTCTGGCGCCTACAGGGTATTTCAAATTCGACCCACAGCATTGGAATCTCAGAAATTGTAAGACATACGAAGTTTCTTAAATGGTGGCAGAGTTGCGTATTTGGGTAATCTACAAAATACCGCTTAGACAGTTTCGAAATTCAAAGTAATTCTTAAAATCGATTTTAGTTTTTCCTGACTGTATTTGTAGTCGGATTTCAAAATAAATTGAACATCGACATTGCATGTTTCTCCTCTACAAGAGGGCATAATTAGAATTTCAACATGAAGCCTTTTCCTCCAGCATCAACTTTATTTTTTCTTAGAGACGTCGACAAATGACTATCTGATAAATTCATGGACTACCTAGGACGTTCTGTTTTTTTGAAATAACTAAGGATTGGCAACATTAATGTATGACGTATTATACATTTTAGGAATCAGAATTAAAAAATCTATTCATCTGTGCAAAAATCCAATATGGCATCTATAAGAAAAAAATAAGTTGATACTGGAGGACAAGAGATGGAACGTCATTTTAAAATTCTAATTATGCCATCTTGTAGAGGAGAAAAAGTAATGGGCAATTTATTTTGAAATTCCACTACAAATAGAGTCAGGAAAAATTAGTAAAACTCGGTATTTTCCGACTCTCTCTGGAAGTACTTTCTAAGCGACTTCGTATCCCTTACAGTTACATGGCACATTATTCGATCACTAGGAAGATCCTCGTATCTTGAACTGAATTGTTAAATTAATTTTCTTTTAAATAATCGGCTGTGGTGCATAATAACTGAACGACTTTCGTAAGGCCTGGTATCATTACATCGTCGCGACTTCTATGAGCCTGCGGCTGGGGCACCGTTGGCGTTGTTGAATTCCGATACGACCATCTGCAGGTAAAGGATATCGCGTGTTCCTGGGTTGCTGGTGTCGTTAGAATCATTACATCGTCGCGATCTTGATGACCCTGCGGCTGGGGCACCGTTGGCGTTGTTGAATTCGGATAGGACCATCCGCAGGTAAAGGATATCGAGTGTTCCTGGGTAGCTGGTGTTGTTGGAATCAAGGACGTATATATTTTCCGGAAAATGTGGGATATTGTGTTTATCTGATTGGTTATATCACTTAAGATCATAAGTTTCTGAATAATAAAACATTTTTCATTGATATCAAAGATGCAACATTTACAACCCCCTACCACTTACAACCCCCAATTTTCAATCCCTACAAAAAATTTATGAAAACGTCTAAGAACGAGGTTTGACAGATTTTTGCTTTTTCATTTTTTGGCCACCGCTGCTAGATCGATTTTCAACAACTATAAAGTGGTACTGACGTGTACTTTCAAAGTTATAGAATATAGACTTAACGGATCGATGGAAATGTCGTGATGTACATGTCATATAACATCCAAAAAACATAATATTTCATTTTCAATATTTTTCGCGAGTACAATACTTCCTCGCTGATGCGTGGGAATCAAAATCATTGAAGATGTAAGCCTGCTTTTGTTATACAGGATGTGCCAAAATAACATCTCAATCTCTCGCATGCATATAGAACACAATTATAATTCCACAAATTCTTATAAGAATTGTTTTACTTGGCGGGGCTCCCCCACGGAGATATATACCCTTCAAAGACTGGAAATCAGGTACTCTTGAACGAAACTGTATATTTCAATTAAATTTTGAAAGATTATCAATCACATGGAATCCGTAGAAAACAAGATCACTAGGGATGAACTAACCCCAATATTGCCAATATTTTGAATACCTAGTGAATACCCAGAAATTCTGAAGTGCAATTAGCACTCTGTAAAGCCCTAAGATATTATTTTCAGATCAATTGATTATGTTTTAGATTTAAGTAAGACTTTTTGGTTAATTGCCATGGAAAAAATACTCTTAGTAATAACTTACCTAGAACCTGACGACGTAGAAGGTTGTTGAGTATCATCAGTGTACGCAGCAGTCTGATTGACTATATCGTTCACTACTGTATACCAATCTCCATCCGAGAATTGACTAGAACTCTCACCATCTACAGCATTGGTCCTACTACTGCTACTGGAACTCTCCTCAGCCGGATTCGAGGCACTCCTCTGCCTCAGTGCTTTTAGACATCTACGGGAAATGAAGAAACACTTTAAAAACATTGATTGACGTATTCTACTTGGAGATAGTCTGCCTAATACTACATTCTGGAGTCCAAAAAATTATCAGAAATAAAAAGACAAATCTAATTTTTCTCTTAAAAAATGTAAAATTTTGAACACAGATTAACCTTCCAAGAGAATATTACCCCTTAAGCCCCTTGGTAATTATTCGTTAGATTTCGTATTTTCTCCATAACCTGAAAAAACAGTCCGAGGGGTGACAACGCTGCGCCTAAAAATGGTGGTCGGCAAATATACAAGTGTAAGTATAACGCGCCACGGCGTGTCTGATTTTGCAAATTACACAAGAAATACTTTTGTCACCCTGGACAAAGTTTTTTAGGTTTTTGTATCATTCTGGAATAAAAGTTTCTTAGTAATGTTTCTCTAAAGTTGACCGTTTTCGAGTTATAAGCAATTTAATATCTGAAAAACTCTAAAAATCGTCAGTTTCAATACTTAAAAATTCTGTTAAAGAATATCATTTTCGAATTGCCAAGTGCCAAATTAAAGTATAGTTCCTTTGCAAGATCTGCAGAGTATTTTGGGATCAGTTTATTAAAAGCATTGTTATTTAATAATCCGCTATTGCCTAGGCACGCTTCCTTTTATACACGATCGGCAGATAATCATTGAAGTCAAGTATTTAATGTGTACGAGAGAGATGGAAGCAGGAACACGTATGTTACAGCGAGAGCGCGAATGAACCGAGCTCGACACCACCGATATTGGGTTGTTTGGATGTTGTATGACATGAACAGTCTGCGAAAAGTTCGCGAATTTTAGCCTAAGAAACAAGGCTAAAAATGGTTTTGATATAAACTTAAAATACGCTTCGGAGTCTTGTAGGGGAAGGTTTTAGCTTTAAATAATGGGCAACCTCAATTTTAGATAAAAGTAACTAAGCACCTTTCTTGTTTAGAATGATCCGAAAAATCATAAAAAAGCTTTTTTACTTTGAAAAAATTGTTTAAACAAATTTTATACGAGTTACTGACCGGCTATCTTTTGATGTATGTCTTGGAGCACTCAAAAAATGTGATTATGAAAGAAGATATTGGGTTGTTTGGATGTTGTATGACATGAACAGTCTGCGAAAAGTTCGCGAATTTTAGCCTAAGAAACAAGGCTAAAAATGGTTTTGATATAAACTTAAAATACGCTTCGGAGTCTTGTAGGGGAAGGTTTTAGCTTTAAATAATGGGCAACCTCAATTTTAGATAAAAGTAATTAAGCACCTTTCTTGTTTAGAATGATCCGAAAAATCATAAAAAAAGCTTTTTTACTTTGAAAAAATTGTTTAAACAAATTTTATACGAGTTACTGACCGGCTATCTTTTGATGTATGTCTTGGAGCACTCAAAAAATGTGATTATGAAAGAAGATATTGGGTTGTTTGGATGTTGTATGACATGAACAGTAAGCGAAAAGTTCGCGAATTTTATCCTAAGAAACAAGGCTAAAAATGGTTTTGATATAAACTTAAAATACGCTTCGGAGTCTTGTAGGGGAAGGTTTTAGCTTTAAATAATGGGCAACCTCAATTTTAGATAAAAGTAACTAAGCACCTTTCTTGTTTAGAATGATCCGAAAAATCATAAAAAAAGCTTTTTTACTTTGAAAAAATTGTGTAAACAAATTTTATATGTCTTGGAGCACTCAAAAAATGTGATTATGAAAAAAATATAGCTTTAAAAGTTCTCTCATTTTTAACTTGTCTAATATCTAAGCATTTGTTTAAAAGTGATCGCTACACATTTTCCTTAAATCCGAAAATCCAAAGTTCGCATTTTGTCAGCCTGCCATGCATATATCATTCATAAATTCGTCTTCACAATGTGATAACCTCGTACCGCCCGCAGAGAGAAGCCGTGACAGATACCCCTAGCCACAAATTATGATAGAGATATATAGATTTATTTAAGCCAGTTAATGAACAAATACTGTAAAGTTGTATTCCAAGGTTTTTAGTTTTTTCAATACAGTGATGTGGAGTTGCTATTTTATGTTTTTCTCTAGTATTATGATTGTGTATATCAGACTGTAGATCGTATTTATCTTTATTTTGATTGATCAAATTCACCTGATGATAAATGATTAAGGCATATGTCATGATACCCAATCTTATACAGATGGGTCGTCGTGTTTGGCTTTGACAAAGTTCCGCACTACAGCCTTCTGAATTATAAAAGCTCTTTGTAAGTTTGAGTGCGAAGCATTGACCCAACCAGCTATACTTTAACTTAATTTTGACTGCCCTTGATAGTCCAGGTAGTATCTTCACATCTGATGGGGAAAAATGTTATTCAACAATGACCCTTTTTATTGAATCTATATGTTGCTAGGCCCAAATGTGCCTCAAAACTTCTTTTCATTTTCTTTTAGACTAACTCCAAAAATTGGGTTTTTCGCTCTGCTTCTCCAAACTTCACGATTTTTTCGGGATTATTGCAAGTGACCATAAACTTCTCCAATCAAGCAGATGCAGCTATTATAAAGCGATCGCATAGCTTTGTATTAGTAGTTCAGTTATATTTCTCACATTCGTGAGAGATGGCAGTGTAAACACGTGTGTTATGAGCTCCTGCTAAAATTCCAATTTTGTATGGTTAAAGTTAACAGTAAATTTTCAAAAAGTGTATCACAGTATTGTTACTCATATGGTGACGTGTTGTAGTTGTTTGATTTGGTGGAAATAGGTGGTTTGCGAGATAGTATCCAGTCAATTGCAATTTGAGCTGCTGGTTAGCATTTTATTTTTGTACCGTATCGATAAATCCCTGGTCATGGCGACTAGAAGCCGTACGGGTTGTAACACAAATGGATATGAAAGTACAAATAATACTGAACAGCTTATAACTAAGGTATGTGCCACATTTACTTCCCAGTTAGAAGAGAAATTCGATGTAAAGTTTGAGAAAATCCATGACAGACTTTCTGAGATGTCTAGAGCTCTAGGTACACTAAGATCTGACTGTATTGAAAATACCAAAAAGATACAAAACCTCGAACCCAAAGTTGATCACTTACAGCAGTTGCAGAAACGAAGGTCCGTTAGAATACTAGGCTTGTCAGAAGCTGAAAATGAAAACCCTGTGGAGACTCTTATCGATTTTCTTGATGAGTATTTAAACGTTAGCTGTGAAAGTAGGGATGTTGATGCTGTATTCAGAGTTAAGGGCACGGAACGAAACTCTGGACCTCGTGTGTTGTTAGTAATATTTACTACGTTATTGCTAAAACAATCTGTGATGTCCGCTAACAAGGCTAAGCTGAAAGGCAGTAAAATTCTTGTCTATGAGGATCTATCCAAGGAGGCTTATCAGTTGCTACGCTTGGCGAAAGAGAAGTATGGTCCAAGGAATGTTTGGTCGTCATCTGGCAAAGTGTTTGTTAAGTGTGGTGACACCAAAAAGTGTATTTCCAGCCTTGATGATATTGTGTGACCCTTTTTTCGTTTACTTTTGTATCACTTATGCCTTGTAACGCAGTTAAGCTTGGTTTATTATTATTTTTGGATTTTAATAATTTGTTATGAATTTATTGATTTAACGGTGAATTGCTTTCATTTCGTGATCTTTATCGATGTGGAACATGAAATTCTAGTACCTTTCATTCTTTGCTCTCACAGTTTTGCTAAGAAATGTTTTTGTGTACTGGGTATTTTTTTTTGTACATTTTTATGTAGATATTTTGTATTTTCTAGATATATTTCATTTCTGTAAATGGCGCCAGCAAGAGCTACATTTGTAATTTCTTATGTTTCATTCATTTCGTACATTCCCGATATTTCATACATTACACATACACAACTTTTTGAGAATATTCGGGGCTCACCATGATGAACACATTAACATGCCAATATCAGAAGGAAAATGTTTTTCGTTTGCTCATTTTAACGTTCGTTCTCTTTTTACAGGGTTTGACTCTTTTTCGGAATTCATATGTGCTTCCAACTATTCTGTGGTTGGACTTTCAGAAACATGGTTAGACCTATCTGTCGATGCTGACACTTTTAAACTGCCAGGCTACAATTTGGTGAGAAAGGATCGTGGTACTAGAGGTGGCTGGGTGGCGTTTTATATTAAAAATTGCTTATCATTTTCTGTAGTTGACTCATCAATCTCACCCGACTTGGAACAGTTGTGGATAAAACTAAAAATTAGTAATAAATCGGTTTGTTTTGGCACATTATATCGTCCTCCTAATTCTAATGTCAATAACTTTTTCAACGAGCTTGAAAATGCGATTACCTATGTCAAGTCAGAATTTGATGAAACACTTTTCGGTGGCGATCTTAATATTGACCTTAGTAAAGCCAGCAACATAGCCGCCCAACTTGTGGAATTTTTAGATGAATATGAACTGTCTCAGATTATAGATTCAAGCACTCGTCCAGCCAGTGGTAGTATACTAGACTTAATTGTTACTTCAAACGTTAACATAGTTACATCTCATTCTGTTATTAACATGGATGACATTTCCGATCATTCCTTAGTTGAATGTAATACGGTTTTCGTTGCTGATAGGTTCGTTCCTATTTTTAGAACATACCGTGACTTTTCTAAATTTGATTACGATTATTTTGTTCATGACCTACTACAGATAAACTGGCAAGCAATTTATCATGTGCAAAATATTGATGACATTATTTCATTTTGGGATATTAATATCTCTAACGTCTTTGATTGGCATGCTCCGTATAAAACTGCTAGAATCACTAAGAGACCAGCTCCTTGGTGGACAGATAACTTAAAATTGATGAAACAGCTTAAGAAAAAAGCTTTTTTAAGGTATAAGAGGTATAAGACTCAGGAGACGCTGCAATATTATAAGAATTTAAGAAATTTGCTCAACTTCTCAATACAGTCTGAAAAGAAAGCATTTTTACAGTCAAAATCAAAATTATCTTCTAAGGAATTTTGGAAAGCTGTGGACTATCTCAATATCCGAAACAGTCACTCTGACATTAATGGTCTGCAGTACGACCCAGATGAACTTAACAACTTCTTCATTGATGGTGTTTCTTCCAGTAGTATCTCATCTGGCGTTGACGCAAGTCAATATGTATCTGATCGTAATATTAACAATGAATTTTCATTCCGTTTGGTGAGTGATCAAGATATTGAGCGCGTATTAATGTCAATAAAATCTAATTCATCTGGTACTGACAAGATTGACCTCAAGATGATTCAACTAGTTTTTCCTTATCTAAGTAACATAATTACTTATATTGTCAATTTTTGCCTTGCTAACAACACTTTTCCATCCAGCTGGAAATACTCTAGAGCTATTCCTATCCCAAAGATCGGTAATCCAAAAGAATTTTCTCATTTTCGCCCTATAAGTATTCTACCTACCTTTTCGAAAATATTGGAAAAAATCGTAGCTTTCCAACTAAAAACATTTATTACATCTAATAATATACTTCCTGTCACACAATCGGGCTTTCGCTCTGGCCATAGTACTACAACCGCACTTGCAACCGTTACAGATGACTTATTCAGAGCATGTGACAATAAGTTGTATAGTTGCTTGATTTTGCTCGATTTCAGTAAAGCTTTTGATACAATAGATCATTCAATCTTATGTTTGAAACTTAAATCTCTGGGACTAAGCAATATGGCTGTAGATTTCTTTATTAGCTACCTGTCAGGCAGATCTCAGTGCACAGAATTTAATGGGCACATATCTCAATTTCGTAGTATTACCAGAGGTGTGCCACAGGGTAGTATTTTAGGACCTTTGCTGTTTTCACTGTATACGTCAGATTTGAAAAGTCAGTTAGAATTTTGCAGTACACATCAATATGCAGATGATACACAATTGTATTACTCTTTTAAACTTGATGATGCTTATGTTGCCTGCATGCGTATCAAATCCGACCTTGAGTACTTATCTAGATATGTAAGAGCCCACAGCCTCGTATTAAATGAAAATAAAACTGAATTGCTTATTTTTGGATCAAGACCGTGTGAGGTTACTGACAATCAGAATTTTAGAATCTGCATTAATAACACTGTATTACAAGCAAGCAACCAATGTAAAAATCTGGGATTATATATGGATAATACTCTTAAATTTGTTCCCCACGTTAAGCATCTCTTACAAAAAGCTTATGCTAAATTAAGGACTTTTTATCTTCACAAGAATGCTCTCTCTACTGAAGTCAGGCTGAATCTATGCGATTCGTTGATATTGTCTTCCTTGTCATATGCTGATATTGTATACTGGCCTGCTCTCACTACTAGAGACAAACGTTCTATTCAAAAAATTCAGAACTCATGCATCAAATTTTCGTACGGTTTGAAAAAATATGACCACTTCAGTGACCAATTTCGAGCCTCTGGCTGGTTCAACATGCATGAGCGATTTTTGATACATCTTGCTTGCTTAACTTACAATATTAACAAAACCCAGCTGCCACTTTACCTATATACCAAACTTGTTAAGAGATCGGATCTTCATGATAGGGAAACTCGTTCTTGTAATCTCTATGATGTTCCGTTACATAGTACTGAACAGTTTAAAAACTCATTTACTTATGTTGCATCTACCATGTATAACTCATTGCCAGATGCAGTAAAAGATTCGATCTCACTTAGCAGCTTCCGAAATAGAGTCAAATCCCATGTGAAAAGAGCACAATAGTTAGTTTTATTTTTGTTGTATTAATTACACCCATCATTATTCGCTCATTATCATCTAATTGTTAGTATTGTATTATTTACGGGGGTTGCATGGAAGAGCAACTATGTTGAATGCCGCCTCCCTCATCAAATGAGTTTTTTTTTGTTTGTTACAATTTATCTAAAAAATAAAGACATATTATTATTATTATTATTTGTAGCTTTAGAAGCAAATTTAAGGAATATCGAGTGGTTTCTGAACAGACGCAGATAGTTTTCTGATTGTATCATGATTTACTAGCACAATAGCCGGACGATAGATATTCACGACTTTCCTGTTTCACAGATACGTATGGCCGTGCCTCTCCTGGAAAGCAGGTGTCTTCACAGTGAATACGGCGATTGCATTCAAATATCATAATTTATTGCTTTCGCGGCTCCTCTAATAGATATCGAGAAGCGGTGCGATGTTGCCAGATAGTCTGACGAACCTATAGAGACTTATAAATGCCCGGTACGCTAACAAGAGATGAAAGTTAATATGACAAAACGTTTAAAGAATGAAGAGGCAGACGCTCCGTACCCCGGATCAAGTTTGTTCAACAATTTTATTTGAATGAATCGCAAATAATGTTTCTTTTTCATTCAGACTAGTAACTTTCCTCTACAGTTTACCGTTTTCGAGTTATAAGCGCATATTCAATACTTAAAAACCTGCTCTATGAGACCCCGAAGAGTATTTTGAGGTTGGTTTATTCTAGAGCAATTTTTAATCTTGTTTGTAAGGTCAACATTGGTGAACTTCTAATTACGCATTAAATACGGAAACTCAATGATTCTCTACAGATCCTGTATGTGTATTAATAACAATGGTTTGAAATAAACTACTCGTCTAGTAGTGTTTGGCAAAATATTCACAGATCATCTCACCTATTAATACAAATCAACAACTGCCTCCTCCTATCGCTCCTATTATATGGCATAAAAGCCATAACCCTGGTGCTGTAACTCTGCTCCAGGACACTTTGCGCGTGATGTACGGTCCTCCGCATAAGCCTCAAACTCCTGCTCAGCTGTCTGGCATGGTTTTGGGAAACAATTGAGGTTGTAGGGGCCGTGGAGAAACGTAGGAGGGACATTAGGGGCGGAGGGGTAGGGGATAGGTCAAGAGAAAGATTATTGCCATCGGAGATTTCAGAAGCGACAGTGTGTTGGATGTTGTCGACGACGACCAGGAGCATGAGTTCGGTAAGAAGGATACCTATGCCTAGAACCTGGAAAAATTGCATTCATTTATAGATAATACTAGCTTTCTGCCCCACTGTTTTACTCGCAGAAGGTGTAAGTGGCGCCACTAATAAAATAACCAAATTTCCCACGCGCACAATTTACCGATGTCATGAAAAAGACAAAACGTGACAGGAAGTTCATAGCCTTACTTGAAAACAATGTTTTGTGTTATTTACAGTTAAAACTAAAACTAAATCAGTATCCATTTTCCGTAAGTTTTGTCACTTGAGGAATTTTATTCAGTTCACTCGTTTTGAAGATATTTAGGTTTGAATATTTGAGGTAAAATCATAAATATTCTTATGAAAAGGTTTAGCCTCCCTTATTCTGAAAACAACGGGAAGCCTGATATTGGAAACCATATATGGTAAGTGAAGAAAGCTATGGCACCTTATTACAACATTGATTCAATAATATGAGCGTCTTATTCTCATTCAGTACCGTAGAAACTTACCATTCATTAAACCTTTCCTGTGCCCGCCAATGGCTTTGCCGGCATATTGATTTTTGTTTATAGTTAAAGAGACTTCAAAACAAAGAAAACGTTTATTTAAAAAATAAATCATATATTTATAATTTTATGTGGACATAAGATTGGGAACAAAAAATATAGCTGAATAAATAGAATAGAACAGAATCGAATAGAAAGGATTTATTTAGCTTTAAGCTACTTCATACAATAATAAATATTATTTACAAAAATACGTTAAATTTACAAAGAGGTCGTCACATCAAACCAAAATAGTCTCTCCGAAGTCTCTTTTTGAAAATTTTAGTATTACTGGATGTTTTACATTAATAGGCAGATTGTTGTACATTTTTAGACATTCAACAAATATTGACTTTTCTACACCTTTAAATCTAAATCTTTGTATATGGAAATTTTCTTTTGAACTAATGTCGTAACCTTGCATTTCACATCTTTTTTTAGAAACTGTTCAAGATAAGGTGGAGCGTGATTATTGATAATTTTATATAAAAGAATTAAATTTGCCTCTTGAATAATTTGGTGTATGTTTAAAAACTTTAATGCCTTTAGCATATCCTGTATATGGGTATACCTGCTACAATTTAACAAAATCTGCATACATTTATTTAATAGAATTTGCAACCTTTGATTTTGCTCATTTGTGCATGTAATCAAAAGAGATGCACAATAAGTAAAATGAGGAAAAATTATTGTATTGTAGACTACCCTTCTGCACCAGGGACAGATTGATTCTCACAAATTCTAATACCCGATATTTTTGCCTAATTTCCAACTCATATAGTCAACATGTTTGTTGAAAGTTAATTGCTGATATATTATAATACCTAAATACTTAACACTATCTACAAAATCAAGTACCTCTCCCTTAATTTTCACTGGCATATTTAAATCCACCAATTTCTTGCAATTATTCTTCGAACCTATAATCATACATCTTTTTTCTCACATTTAATTTAATCTTGTTTGATTTTAACCATAAACTAAGTTTGCTCATTTCACTATTCATTACTTCTAAAATTTCGTTACTTACTGAACCACTAACTGAAATTAATGTATCATCCGCAACCAAATTTATAAAAGAATTGCTAAGGACATTGGACATATCATTGACATATAGAATAACCCCCCTACTGGGCGAGGGCCGTGGCAAATGCTTGTTCCGGAAGTTGTTGTATCCAGTATACAACTTCTTCCCGTCCAAGTGATTGTACACGCGTTAAGGAATACCTCAGTACCGATTGCCGGGTGGCGGTACAAGTCCGCCAACGGGCCACTTTAGGTCTATTTAATATCACTAACACGTAAAAAGAAGGTGGTAGACAAGGACCAGTCGACCCAGGCGGTACCACCCGCTAGCTTTCCCCAGGGTGTCTTATAAATGTCCGCATGTTTCCACACCCAAGCTATGCAGTCGGTTATTTTCCAAAACAAAGAAATTAATGATGATGGATCCCTCGAGCACAAAGAACTCCGGACGTAAACTCACTCCACTCTCGGAATGTCCGGGTGGAGGGTGGGCTCGAGGAAACAACATCGAATATAAAATTTGTTTTTCGAACATCTGCGGGATTAACAGCAACATTGATGCTGTTCATCACTACCTGCAATCCAATCGTCCCGCCGTGCTTTTCTTGGCGGAGACAAAAATCTCAGAGACTGCACCGATTAACCATCTCAACTTCCCAACTACGAGGTGCACTCCAATCTGAGAAAGAACGGGGTAGTTGTGGCTTTTGTCCGCAGCATTCTTTCCTGCTCCAGATATGTTTCTTTGGAATCAGACATTCTGTGGCTTCGCGTCAACTCTAAAACATCCCCCAAATTTATTTGCTGTCTTTATCGCTCTCCCTCTGACCATAACTGGGATAACCTACTCGAATACCTCGCCGTCCAGATCGACTTCCTGAACATCAATCACCCCGCTTCAGAGGTAGTTCTTCTCGGTGATTTCAATGCCCATAATGAGCTTTGGTTGGACTCAAATAAGACCGATGCAGCAGGTCGTGCAGTCGAAGCGTTCGCTCTTACTCAAGGGCTGACCCAGCTGGTGACGAGCCCTACTTTTTCCCCCGCGTCTCGTCACATGCCAATAGCCTGCTGGATCTCTTTCTGACCACGCATCCTGTGCCTTACAGCACTGCTGTCCTGTCCCCTCTGGGTAACTCAGACCACTTTGTTGTGGAGGTTAGGCTTCGATCAGAAGCCGCTGTGGCAGCAGAAACTCGTACAGGCCGCAAAACTTGGCATTACGGACATGCCGACTGGGAGGGGCTCAGAGACTTCTTCTTTAGCTTTCCTTGGAGAGATGTCTCTTTCACTGACGCGGATGCGTCGACTGTCTGTTCTTCGATAACCGAAATTATCCACGTCGGAATGGAGGAATACATCCCTCACACAGTGAAAGTTCCTAAACCAGGATCCAACGGCTGGTTTAACAAATCATCTGACACTGCTCGCCAGCAGAATATCAAGGCACACATAAATAAATAAATAAAATAAAATAAAAAGGCCTTTATTTTAAACTCGGCGAAGATCAGCATTGCTGTTTACTTAGGCCCGTATCGTCAGTCGTCCCTACAATTATTGTAGGACGCCTTTATGGCCTCCTTGATTGTCATAGTTTTCTACTTCTCCCTGTCAGCGCTCTATTTTGAGGTTATCTCACAAATATGTATTTGCATCAAATTGTGCTTGCTTTTGAGTTATATCATGTTTTATCGGCCTGAAATTTCCTACAATTTAAAAAGAAAACATATCTTCACAATAGGAGAGCGCTGACGCTGACACGGCAAGTGTAATCTAGAAATTTTTGAAGGAGGGATGACAATCAAGGAGGCAATAAACGCGCCCTACAATTGTAGGGACGACTGACGATACGGGACTTAACCGAGTATTCAGAAAGTATTACAAAAAAAAAGAAACATGATCTTGGCAAAATAGTGAAATTCAATTCAAAACTTCACAAAGTTGATACCTAATTAAGTAACAGTATATTAAACGTAAGTGATTATATACAAACAATAAAAAAACAATAAAATTAGAATATGAATACAATGCACTAGAGCAGCAACCAACAGGTAGTTCAACTAATAATTCGCAAGCAGGGCATTTTTGAATTTCCTTTTAAATGAAGCTACCGCCACTCCATTATATTTTCCACAAATTTGTTAATTAAGGATTTTAGGAGCCGTATACGAAAAAGAGCGCTGAAGCAAGGCACTGCGATGTCTTGGAATACTAAAATTCTTGTTATACCGAGGGGCGATCATGGATTAAACTTCGAACACTTAACTTACTTCTAATATACCTAGGCTCCCCACTCTCTATCACCTTATACAAGAAACAGGCAAAATGAAGCATGTACCTGTCAGCCATATTTAGCCAACCCAATTCAGGAAGCTTCGGACTGACATGATCCTCTCTCCTCAACCCAAAAATAAACCTGATTCACGAATTTTGAATTTTTTGCAATTTGTATTTAAAAGTTTGATCTAGAAATGGTACAAAAACAATATCACAGTAATTGCAGTTTGAAAGAACCAGCGACTCACACAAGTGCTTTTTTAGGTCCCTATTTAAAATTAATCTATACTTATATAGGTTCGTAGCGACATATAACATTTTTGAACAATCTTATTAACATGCGTTCTAAACTTCAAGTTTTGATCCAAAACAACTCCTAAATTTTTATATTCTTCGACCACCCCTATCTCCACACCATTCATGACAGCTTGAACATTATGTGATGCCTCATGACGATTGACTCCAAAATACATAATATCCGACTTATTCGGATTTATTTTTAAACCGTTATTTATGGAATATGTAGACACCGATTCTAATAATTGATTTATTTTAATTTCCATGTCAGCAGGCGGAACTTTTGGGAAACTGGTATATATTTGTGTATCATCGGCATGCTGATGTAATCCACAATTATCCAGATAATTACTCATGTCCATAGTAAATATAACAAAGAGAAGCGGTCCAAGAATAGAACCTTGCGGTACTCCTTTCCGTAGGATCACAGATTGCGATAGTTTATCATCCACCCTCACTACTTGCGTTCTGTCAGAAAGGTAACTATTAATAAAGAAAACAGCCTTCTCACAAAATCCATAAAACGACAATTTCCCGCAAAGCAACTCGTCATCAAGCACATCAAAGGCTTTACTATAGTCCAAGAGCATCAGGGTAGTGGTTTCACCTTTGTCAATCTTACACACTAAATCATCTAGTACCTTTACTAGTGCTGAGGTGGTGCTATAACCTTTACGAAATCCAGTTTGGCATAATGGCAATAGCATATTTTTATTCAAATAGGAAGTAATTTGAACAAACAAGGCTTTTTCGAAAATTTTCGATAGTACAGAGAGCAAACTACTAGGTCTCAGGTCGGCCAAACTTTCCGGGTTGGTTGTTTTAGGATACGGCAAGACCATAGCATCTTTCCACTGTGCTGGAAAAATGCTTTTTTCGATACAATTATTATAA